ATGCAAGAAATTATATTTGGGATTTTAACTGACAGGACGTCTTAAAGGTAAAGTTGCGAGACACTGGTGGTCAAGTCCTGTCCTCTTTTTGGCTACTTCCTCTGGCAGACCGCTGGGAATGTCTCCTCTGTAAAACGACACCTGGAAAATTAAGAAGAAGAGTCAGGACTAATCGACAGGTTTGTTCATATTTCACTTTGGTTCCACTGAGCTCTGAATAAAGAGATGTTTTTATATATGAATAAAAAAGAGCAGAAGGTTTAGTAAAAGCAGTTTAACCAAACCAAATGATCTAACTTGCTTTCAGTGGACAGAAAGCCAGATGACCAATGATTTATGCCTCTTTCCAGGTTCCAAGAACATCTCCAAAAAACACCCCATAGTTCGTTTTTTTCAAAGCTGCAAAGACCCGCCTTCAGTCGTCAGAGGCGTACGGTTAGACCATCTATTTATTCCTCCGTTCCCTGCTTTTAGAGCAGCTGCTTGTATCTGTTTCATAGGGATCTAATGGCAGAACTACTGATAAGAACCACATGTAGCTCCGGTCACTGAAGCATGTTTAACAGAGTTATCAGATTTATTATGTGCAGCAGGGGTGGCGCTCCCAGTGGGTGCCCCACTGATAACACCTGTAATCTGCCAAGGAGGAGGAAATAGCATCTTGTGATTTTTATTCAGTTCTAGTACCTTAAAATGAATCTTTATCACAAACCTTCTTCCCCAGAAACCATCAGTTGTTTCACCGACAGAAAGAGTGTTTTAGAGGAAATAAACAGCATGAAGAATGCTCAGAACATTGACACTGCAGCTAAAGACATTTCATTGGCTGCTAAACGTGGGCTGCTCAGTGGAGCAGAGGGCAGCACTGCTGCCTTGCTGCAAGGAGGCTCCAGGTTTGATTCCCTCTGGAATTGGATGGATGGCTTCTAAACGTGACCTCCTTCATCACGAAATGTACTGATGATGTGACTGCAGGGGATGAACGGGATTTGAAAACAGCAAGCAACCTTTCCCGTTGCATCAAACAGGAGTAGAGACAGAAGGTTACTACCCATCCCAAGGACAGCAGAGAGGCACAGAGCCGATGGCCGGGCATTCACGCCATCGCAGGCTACCAGCCTGCACCACAGAGCGGCAACAACAACATCTCTGCTGGCCACACTGAACAGATTTATCCCACGCCTTAAAGCACAGAACACATGCCCAAAGAAGACCCCTCCCCCTCCTCACGACAATCCACTGGACTTGGTTTCCAAGTTTGAAGACGTTTCTCTTCCCATCCAGGAAGCTTTTTCAATTCTAAAGCTGTTTCTCAATCTGGGTACTTGTGCGTCCTCGTGAAACATCATCAGACTCAGCCCCAGTACTGTTCCTATTCACTAGAACAAGAAGACGGAGAACAAAGTCCACGGAAGTTGTTCTGGCCCCTCCCTCTTTACCCAGCATGCATCAGAGCAGGCCTGTCTGTTCTCCAGACTGACAGCTGTCCCAGCATGCACTGCAGCAGCAGCAGCTTCCAGGTTAGCGCTCACAGAGCTCAGAGGATTAAGTTAAAAGTTCTCTTTCTGTTGTTCAATAAAAGCACATTTTAAAATCATTTGAGGCGAGAATATT